GGACTGGGTGGAGTGGGGGGAAGACACTTGCATAAAGTCCATTTATCATGCACTTGAGGCACGCTCGACTTTAATAGCTCATGAAGCACTTTAAGAGATGCATTAGCACTGAATACTTGAGTGAGGAGGATGTGACAAGCTGTTAAGCGAGCAGAGCGCGGCGCAGCGAGGCTGGCCACCGCTCCTGGCTCTCACGTGCACCCTGGTGATTACTGGAGCGTCCTGCAAAGTGCCACATGAATTAATGAAAGCAGCAACGTTGGGCTTGGCGGAGGTGAGGCTGCCCATGCATTAACTTCCCCCTCTGCTGCTTGTCTTTGGAGCTGGCAAACGGTGCGTTTGGGATCCAGGAGCCCAGGGAGGTCCCCAAGATTAGAAAAAAAGGTCAGAGGTAAGCAGATTTGAGTACACCCCCTCCCTCTGGTTGCAGAGCTCCCTTGCTTCACATCCATGTGAAGTTGCTAATGTTACACCTGTACCACCCTGCTGGGCTTCCAGCTACCCATGGGGGCAAGCACCATGTTTAGAGGGAGACCAGAGACATTGCTTAGGGCAGCTCTGGGGGGATGCTTGGAAGGTGACACTAAGGCACTGGCTCGGGATGGGGGATTTAAAATGTCCTGCTGCAGGAATGGGCAGAGGGGCGGCAAAAGAGCAAGTGGTCCAGCAGTGTAACCCCCCGAGCATGGGCAAATACTGGAAGTAAAGCAAAGACAGGCATTGCCAGGGGCTGTACCCATCTTCAGAGCTCCAGGCCAGCACAGGGGGATGGACAGGAGATGTGAGGAGAAACAGGAGGGGGCAGAGGAGGCAGAACCTGGCTGAGGACCATGCAGCAGAGCCTGGTGCCCTCCCTGTTACTGTGGGCAGCTCAGTTTTCCTTCCTGTGTTTCCTTCTCCGGGCAGTGGTTGCTGCCAATCTATTTCAGATGGGGAAAGCTGAGCAGAGCACAGCAGTGAAGCTACCTGGCTGGTAGGCTATGCAGAGACCCTCTCCCTCGCAGGACATAGGCACCCTTAAAGGAAAGGAAGACACCACAGCATGATCCCTGGGGCTTTGCCAAAGCTCTTTATGTGGGAAGTGCGTACATGGTGGAGATGGATAACTGCATGTCAGGCTATGAAGCATATGTGCATGAGTGATTTCAGCTCTTTCTTTTCATTGCCTTGGCTGCCTGTGACTGGACTGAGCAGTTTTCAGTGGACCCAAAGGCTACAGCCATCCTGGAAGGAGGGAGCTCTGCTTCCCCCAGCTCCTACCACAACCAAAGTGTCTTTGCCATCCGTCAGCTCTGCCGGAGTTACGTCCACTTCTGTCCTAGATTGAGATTTCTCTGCTTTTAAAAAGGAGTAATTTTGCTTTATTGATCCTCACCTTGCTGAATTAACTCATGTTTAAACAATAATTATGTTTTCACCCAGGAGAGGACACAAAGAGATAAACGCCTCTGGAAATGAATGTGTTTCAGATGCCACATGCCAAGGTTAATTTATTGATGGGCGCAGAAGCTGCTGTCTTCCCTTTTTCTCACCAGCAACAAGCAATTAGCCCCCATCATTCCTTAAACGAGGAAAAGAAAGAGAGATTTTGTTTCATTACTTTCCCCTCTCTCTTGCTCTCTTAAGCCCTGGCGCTAATCTTTTGCAATTGGTTCTGCTGCAAAGCCTCCCGGAGCTCCAGTTTGCATGTGCTTTGTTAGCAATGCTGCCCGCATTTCAGCTAAGACAAAGCCTGGCCTGGTAAACAGCCTTCAAAATACAGAGCGAAGCCATGCAAATTGGCCTCTCGAAGGCAAACCAACTGTAGATATGTCCCTCTCTCCCCTCCCTGCGTTGTCCAGCCTTCTCCGTGTGACATTCCTCGGCTGTCAGGGATGTGACCAGGTCTTCTTATCCCCTGCATCCACCTCCATCCATCAGCCCATACATGTCCCCAGGGCATCTACCTGGCACAGTTAAATTAATTTCTTTGCGTTTGAGGGTGTTCTTTGGGTTTTCTATGTAAGAGATGGTTTGTAGATTCCTACAGGAACATGTGGTTTGTAGACATCTGAGTGATTTTGGGTTGTTGTGCAAGTGCTGTTCAGGTAAGGTGCCTGGATTCAAGTGGTGTGATGGGCCACCTGGATGATGAGGCTTGCTCTTGTGCCCATGGGTGCGCAGGGGAGATGTGCATCCGACCTATGGCAGAACTGCAGGAGTAGTCTCTCCAAATAAACACACAGAAGGTCTTCTCTCTTCCCTCTTCTCTCTCCTTTTCTCCTGTCCCCTCTCGATTCCTCACCATGCTACTGGAGTGCCTTTCAGTCATGCATTAAGGGACATGACTAACATCTGTCATGTGCTGTTTGTTTTCCTGCCCATTCCCCAGGGCGAGATGTGTGTGCAACAGAGTGTTTTGGAATCTTTGTAATTGCTGGGGCGCAGGCACTCGCTGGGGAAGGCAGGATCAAAGGGACCGCATGTATGTGTGGAGCGACTGGCTGCAAGGCTGGGGATGGTGCCTGCTTCCCACAGAGCATCGTTGCATGCTCAGGCTGCAGCCAGCGCAGGAGAAAGCTCTGTCTCCTCATTAGATTACACCTCCTGTCACACCTCCTTGCATCTCGGGCCAAGTTTTGCTCTCACCACATCTCATCTCCAAGTGGCTCCTGCCAAGGCCTTATCGGTGCTGTCCTCCCCAGGACGCAGCCCTGCCTTCTGCAAGTCTGACCTACATTCCTCCACTGGCGATGAATGGGATTGTGCTTGGCTGCGTAACACACACGCTCTTGTGGAGGGATGGCTGGTATATTAACTGCTCCAGAGCTCTGCGTGTGATGGACTCGTCCTGTCCGTTATATACATCAGCCTTTGCGTCATCGGCAAATGTTGCCAGCAACAGTTTTAGGTTGCCTTCAAGATAATTGATAAGATGAGTGATTAGCAATTGGCCAAGAACACATCCCTGCGGGACCCCACTGGAAACACCCTCCTGCAATGATGATTCCCCATTAACAATTAATTCCCCATTAGCAATTAAATTTTTTTAATCCTGCCTGTTATAACTCTGGATGCTCCCATTACCCAGCTGGTTGAAATACCAGCCTTGCTCCAAACTGCGGCCAGGTTCAGTATGTGAGCTGATTTTGGAGCATTTCCAGGACCTCTCTCGGGTTAGGAAGCAAGGTTTGGCTTACCTGCCTCTGCATCCTTCGCTCTTTGCAAGCCTTCTTGAAGCCAAAATGCTCTTCAGATATGCTTCATGGAGAGCAAGAACCGAGGCACGGTGCT